CATCTGATCTTGGGAAATATCAGTCTTCTTAGTGGTGAGATGTTTGTCATGGCCTTGACCGGTAAACCAGATCTTAACGGAGGTAGACCAGGTCTTGTAAGTGGCAGATCCGGTCAATTTCAGAGTTGTGATAGATGGAATAGCACTTGAAATGGTGCCGGAAGAATGTTTACTGGTTCCTTCGATCAGGAACAGCGATCAGACAACCAAAAAACTGTAAAAATTACGCGAAAAAGGAACAAAGTAGCGACTTTTGCACTAGAAACCCTCGAACGGAAGAGACCCACAACGATCGGTCACTGGATCTGGAAGGAGGAGGCAGAGGCGAGCCTGTCTGCCTTGGTTTGGTCGGAAAAGGTGGTCGGAACAGTGCACACGCGCCGGAGAGAGGTGGCGCGTGAGGCCCACGCGCAGACAACTGTGGTGGCGCGTGGAGGCGCGTGCGGCGGCCGTTTGGGACGGGTCTTGGACAGAAATGGTCGCCGGCGTGAGGGGATCCTGATCGCGTGGTTTCTCGCCGGAAAGGTGGCCGGAACAGTGATGAACAGTGACGGAACAGTGTTTCTTGCGATGTGAACAGTGTTTTCTGGTCAAATAATGAAGGAGGATGACGATCTGAGATCGAAAAAGGGTCTAACAATGTTCGGAGGGTTGAAAAAGGTTGCCGGTATGATGCATGGCGGTAAAAAGGTTTGCCGGTATGATGCACGGTAGTACAACGAAAGGAAAAAAAAATATATATATGCGGAAGCAGAGCCCTCAGATCGAGAGCTCTGATACCAAATTGAATCTGAAATATATTGTATATTCAAGTGTGTGAGTCTGTACAAGGAGGCTCTCTATTTATAGAGACTAAAAAGACCTAATGGGATGACCTAATGGGCCAAACCCACAATCTAGACTATTCTAATAATAATAAAATAATATTATTTCTAACACCTATGTATGGGCCAGCCTTGGGATTTAGCGTTTTATCGACTCAAAACTCAATTAAATCCATTCAGAATGTAGAATAGGCTTGTTTCATGGATATTATCTTGGACAAGGAGTTCTTCTAGCCTAGTCTGAATTTTGATCACTGGCCAAATGTGTTTGAATCTTGATGTTTGAAAATATAACTCACCAGTTGTCAAATGGCTGATATGGGCAGGAGGCAGTGAATGGGCATCATGTTTTTCTGGGTGTTCTGAACTAAACTATCATGAAAATTATTATTGATTGTGTCAAGTTTCAGAGGTTTGCTTGTCTTACTTGTATTCTTTACATTATTAATAACTTCTTTTATGAAAAAGAGATCTGTAAAATTGTTTCCTGTTGCTCTGATACCATGTAAAGAACCTTGGGATACACCACCCCAAAAGCTAGCTCAAAGGGTGAGAGTGCCCAAGGCCTTATAAACTTCACATTAGTTGCACATACAACCAATGTGAATATCTGAACACCACCATTATTCCCCAAGATCTGCCTTCCATTGTCACATTTTCTTGCATCATTGTCCTTAGCAAATTGAAGAGTTGAGATGGTAAGCAGGAAGTGAGGAGGGTCAGTAAACTAATTTGATAGTACTATGCTTTGAACATGAAGCAAAAGGCTGCTGTGAATTTGGTCAGGTTTCAAAGCATTGCCCATCTCTCATTACTATAAAATATAGAATTGGACAAAGTCAATCTGGATGGCCCAGTTCAGCTTGTTCCATTGTTAGGTTTTACTGCTTTCCCATGGCAGCATACTGTTGGTTAGTTATACTAAACAGTTTCTTATTAGTTCCTTCCTGCAAATGAGTCATGCAATCAGAAGTTGTTGCATGGTATTAACTGTTTCTCTTGAACCTTTAACTATGCTTTAATTCAAACTTTAAAATCATCTTATAGGCATTGAATGTCATTTCTCACCCATGTAAGGTTAATACCTTAAATGCAATTAGGAATAATTTTTGCATTTGCTTTAAAGCACATACATCCCTATAATTATGAATTTGTATAGACAAACAGAAATCATGTGAATATTTGTGTCAAATGTCAATAAATTGGCTCTAACAAATCAATAATTTGTTTTTGGTATCATGTACATGCGATGTCAAGTGAGTTCATACAAGTAATTGTAGCAACAGTAAATTTTGTACTGGAGAATTGTGGGTTGTCACAGATTTGTTTCATAACCCGATTGGGTTTGCCACATTTTATAATCTTCCTTTTGTAAAATCTTTGATGTTGCCTTCACTTGACTGCACCCACTTGAGCTTTGCTTTTCTGTTGAATAGAGCTTTATAGTTTTCCTGGGTTGATGCATGATATACATAGACTTTGATATCTCTTCAGATTGTTCTATTGCACACCTGATGCAGCTGCAGTTAGAGCAACTTTGATAATCTCATACTAACTTTATGTGCGAAGAATTCATAAGCATATTAGTGCTGTAGCATGTCTTGCTACTGTTCTTTTCAGTTGCATTATGTACTGTGATTTTTTTGATGTGATATTCTTCATGATAACCCTTCAGAAGGTAATGTCTTCATTTCCTGCCCTATGCTGCTGCCCTAGTGGAACTTGACTAGGATGATGGTGAAATCAAGGGTCTAGGTGTGGCTGCAATTGACATTAATGGGGTGTTTGGTTGAGGATAAAATTTTCCGTGCCCAGGAATCATGATTTTCAGAAATGTGGTTGGAAAGTCACTTTCCCGGGAATGTTATTAAAAAGCTGTTTGGTAACCCAAAATATTATCGGGTTTTTGTCCCAAAAAAAGTATAAAATTTTCCCAACACCTAGGATTCCAAGAATACCGGATAGCATTTCAGAAGAAAAATTGTATACAAAACAAAATTCCGGGAAAATTAGATTACCGAATTTTTTTTAGAAACCTTATACTAAACGTGAATAAATAAGATTACCACCCTCACTTTTTCGGAATATCAAAAAATCCCCCCTACCAAACACCCCCTAAAAGTTTGGTCTTTAATATTTAGCAAGTCTGAAAAACTTTACACACAACCTTAGATTTTACATGATTGTAAAATGCTGTAACATTGTAAGATTGGGGAAAGTGGAGTTATGTACTAGCAGCCGTAGGATTTTTCAGAGTTTTGCAGTTTGTATCTGAGTTTTGTGAATACAGTTGCTATTCCTTTAACTCTTACAACCATTCTGGTAATAATGTCACCGTACAGCTTCTCTGCCAAATTTGATGAGGATTTCCTCGGTAAGTCAGAAATGATGGTTTCTATGCAACCACTGGCTGTCTCTGTGTATCTGTTGGAATGGATATGAATAAATTTTTATTCATTAATTTGCACTTTGTGAACTGCAGCAGACAGGGCCTACTATGTGGCAGATTTTCCTTGTCTGTCTGTAAAGTCAGCTGTGTAATGCATGTTTATAACTGACTGAAAAATTGGTCAGAATATTCAGATGCTTTAGCTATGTAAAAATATTTTTGGGTGTGTTTGTGAAGATGGACTTCTTCCTATTATACCGCGGATAACTTTCTGTTTCTTCTGCATGTGTGTAAGATATGTGTGGAGCAGGCCTCTGTAGTTGAGTCCTTTATTTCTTTATTAATGATATTGTAGTATTATATGGTAGGTTTATTGATGTAAAATTTATTGATGCAAAATTTTAAAGGGGGAAACAGTGGATCATGGGTAAAGTTGTTCCTTCATGACTGAAGGGTCATGGGTTCGAATCTAGGAAACAACTTCTTTACAATTATGCAAGGATAAAGCTGCGTACAAGGATTACTTCCACCCCACACTCGCTAGTCGGGTTTAATGGGGAGTGGTTTTGTTTTTATTTAGGGATGTTAGTTCCCTCCTTTGTTATCAATACTGCTTTACAATTTGTTGTGAAGAATCATAAGTCATGCTGATTACTTTAGAGGAATACAATAATTACTGTGACAGTATGACATACATATTTTCCATTCTGTTGTGAATTACTTATTAAAGGTATTGACACCGAATGTTTTGTTCTGAATTTCATTTAATTGATCACGATAGATGTAGAAATTGTATAAAACAACACCAGGCACAACTGTTGATATCTTTATTGCATTAAATTTACAGAGGTAGTCATTTTGTCTGATCCCCAGCAGCAATTGTAAGCTCATAGATAATCTCATACCATATACGCATTACTGTTGAATGGAATAAATGTGATTGTGGAACTACCAAATCCTACTGATTGAAGCTTGATCATTCTTACGGACAACTTGTTGACAGCTTGTCAGAAATGACAACCATCCCTGATTATCGAACAGTTTTTTTCTAATGCAGCTGTAATCTGGTGCAGAATTTACATGTTTAGTTTATGATGGAATTTGAAAGAAAAATTACAGACTCTAGCTGTATGTTTTATATTATCAGTTTGAGAGAATACCCCAGTTTCATTGCTTTGGCTGATGGTTCGCTGTATTGAGGCTGTGGCTGGCTTAGCTGGAGACTTATAGGTGCATGTATATCATATCCATTTCTGATAGTGTATGGGGGACTTGATGCTGCATTTTCTTCATTGGTACCCCTTGCTTCATAAACCTGAGATCCAAATCTTCTGTTTAGGTTTAGCTCAAGTAAACTTGAAAAAATTAGCTTCTAGATAAATAGCATTAGGCCTAATAAATGAGTGAAATCTGTTTGATATGGGTCTTTCTCGATGTTTCTTCTGTGCATGTGCAGGCTTGGTCATTCTACATGCCTTACTTTGTATGGCATGCAAATGTATCTATGAAAAAAGATGAATAAGGGATTCTTAAATTATAGATTGTGTTTTCTTGATCATTTACCTTCTTGTGTAGCTCTGCATTTTCTTTATGGATGAGGTTCACCTTTTTACGAAGTTCTAAATTTTCTTCATTTACGATATTTCTCTACAATGGCAGTAACGGAAATTGGTCAGAAATTTATGGGAAAACCTTAGTCAAACATGGCAAGAACAAAATCAGATTCCTGAAACCTTTTGGTGTAGTTCTTTAATCTCATTTGTCATGATTTGATCCTGCAGGGAAAATAGACGATAATGTAAAGAGTCATCAGGGTACCCTCATAAGGATGGAACCTTAAATGGAAGAGATCTGATTTGAATTGAGCCATAATACCTTTTTTATGCGAATGCCCTTTAAACTCATCTCCAGTTGGTTTTCCAGATTTTGCAGTTCTTTAATACCCAAACCAGACAGTTCTTCACCCATCAATTGCCTGCTTTTTTGCGAACAGAAAGTGTGTAATACTTTCTAATCTGAGATGGGTTTATTTCTAACAGAAAAATATCCAAAGTTTCTGAGCTTAATTTTTTTTTGGGTATGTTAGTTGTGTGTTTGAGAAGCTAAAGTTGTACTATTTCCAATTTTTTTTGCACTATCATTAAATGTTTTCAGGCAGCACCACATGGTTCTGTAAAGAACCAATTTAACCTAAAAGCTTAAGCTAGAGCTCACTGGGTTTGAAGGGTGGTCAATGCATAGGTCTATCTACCTGTGCTAACAAATTCCATAATAATTAATTATTTATTATTAAATGGGAGGTGTAAGGATCGAAACCGTGACAGCGAGGCTCGAATACCATACACAGAATCAAGTCAATCTAAAAGCTTAATTGTAAAATGAAAAGCAGGGTTTTCTGTATTGATACATCTTGATTTATGCTAATAGGGAATATTTATACAAGAGAAAAAAAAAACGAAAACAAATTAAAATCCTATTAACAGAAAAATAAATCTCTAATTATTAGGCTATAAATCAGGGGATATGATTGTATCCCAAATAAAAACGGAAAGATTGTCAGTGGATCAAGGTTGTGTCATTTACCAGAGGTCTTCTCTGCAGTGATGGAGGAGCTATTGAATTGACTTTTTGCTCAAGCTTAGGTTTTAAAAAAGGAACTATTCAGTTTTTTTGTATTATAGCCAATTAACACTTGGAGAATATACTTAACTAGTTATTTATGAAATATTCTGTCAAATTTTTCTTCTCATGTCTTGTGTTTTGGGTCTAGTGGCATCTCCTTCCCCTTATCTTGCAATTGTGGTGTGCCTAACATGTTTGTTTGATTTAGTAAAGGGAAACAAACTCATGAGCTACTTGTTAATATATTTTAATTTCATGCCTAGAAAATGCGTGGGAGGGAAAATGAAGCAATGACAGAAGCAGTCCTAAGATAAATCATACCAACTATGTGTTTTTTTGTATGTTTTGGTAGAGTTTGTTGGGAAAGTGTATAATAAAATTCTCCTTTTCTTTTTCCTATTGTAAAGAACCTTGGGATACACCATCCCAAAAGCTAGCTCAAAGGGTGGGAGTGCCCAAGGCCTTATAAACTCCACATTAGTTGCACATACAACCAATGTGAGACTATATATCTCAACACGCCTCCTCACACAAGAGCCCATTGGGCTTGAAGAGTGGACAATGCAACAGGCCCAGCCTACCTGTGCAAAGAAATGCCGCAAGAGAAAGTGGGGTGAGGCGAGGCTCTAATACCATGTAAAGAACCTTGGGATATGTGAATATTAGTTTACAATAGTAGTTTACTAGTCCCACATCATGTATATCTCTTTGTACTTCCTTTATTTTCAGTTATATAATAGACTCTCCGCTGTGTAGTCAAGACACACGGATTACTCACAACCTCTCGGGTCCTGATATTTAACATGGTATCAGAGCCTAACGAGAGGAATTTTAATCTACGTCTGTCCGGTGGACTTACTGTTCATCGAGTAAAATTTTTCTTTTCAGAAGCTGTCACACCGACAGTATTCCGGCCACCGTCAGCCACCGTCCTCTGTCATCGGAAAATTTCTCCGGCGACTGTTTTTGTCAAAGCATACGTCAACCGACTCAGAAGGAGCTGATCTACGCAAAGCCGAAGCACCCACCGTCATAGGTGGCCCTACGCTCTCTGACGCACCAGTTTCTTCTCTGCGCGTGGCCAACACGCGCCACCTTCCTCCGGCGCGTGCGGTGTTTTCCGGCGGCCGTTCGCCGTCGATCAAGGACAGACTTGGTCGCGCAGCCCTCGTTCAACCGACTTCATTTGGATCCAGTTCATAGTTCGTGTCCCTTGATCATGTTGCCTTTGTTCGTGTGCTGCTGTTTGAAGCCAGCAACAATCGTTCGTTCCTGTTCTCGGGCGAAGCGGTTCGCATTTGCTGCTATATCCAGGAGCTTGCTTGCAGTGTAGATCAACCGCTCCACATTGGTTTTGCTGCTACTATTTCAGATTTGATCATTCACCACACTCACAACATTAGATACAGTCACTTTTTCCATACCTGTGTGCTTTTGATCCCAGTGTTCGATCTTGCTACTGCGTAACATTGAGGTTCCTTGTGACTTTGGTTCTTTATTTTACTGGTACTGTATTCTATTCTTGGACCATGGATGATTCTAGCTCATTTCCTCAATACGTTTCTCGGTCCACTTTCCCTGGTTCCACGGCTACTGTTGCACATATAGGTAATACCTTTACTAGTTTCACTCAAAATTCATCCTTTGGTCATTGGGTTCTTGATTCCGGTGCCTCTGATCATATTTCTGATAATAAGTCTTTGTTCTCTTCTCTTTCTACCTCTGGTTATTTGCCTGTTGTTTGCTAATGGTTCATAAATTCAGTCTAGTGGAATTGGAACAATACATCTCTTTCCTTCTCATACTATTGATAACGTGCTTTATGTCCCCGGTTCACCCTTTAATCTCCTTTCCATTAGCCGTTTAATACATTCTCTTGATTGTCTCATCTGTTTTACCAAAAATTCTGTTGTTTTACAGGACCGGAGTTCGGGGAGGACAATTAGCGGTGGATTTGAGTCCAATGGCCTTTACATGCTCTCCAGCTCTTCTCATGCTCATTTGGTATTAGATTCTCCACTCATTGTTCACGCTCAGTTGGGTCATCCTAGTCTTACAAAGCTCCAAAAGATGGTGCCGCGCCTATCCAAACTGACCACTTTGCAATCTGAATCATGTCAATTCGGGAAACATACTCGTAGTTCTTTTCCTGATAAAGCCATTCGTCATGCCTCATCTCCTTTTAGTTTGGTTCACTCTGATGTTTGGGGACCTAGTCGTACTGAGTCAACTCGGGGCTATAGATATTTTGTCACATTTATTGATGATTATTCTCGGAACACCTGGTTATTTTTACTGAAAAATCGCTCTGAGCTATTCTCAGTATTTCAGAAGTTCTATCAAGAAATTCTTACTCAATTTGGTATTCCTATCCGCACTTTTCGTAGTGATAATGCTCGTGAGTATCTGTCTCAACCATTTCAATCATTCATGGCCTCTCATGGCATTCTTCACCGCACGTCGTGTGCCTACACCCCTCAACAAAATGGGGTTGCTGAAAGGAAAAACCGTCATCTCATTGAAACAGCTCGGACACTCTTAATTCATGGGAATGTTACTTGAAAAAGGGTATTCTAATATATTATAGAATTGTAAATAATCTGTACAAAGGGTTCTCTATTTATAGAGAATATTTGACCTACTTTTAACCTAATGGGCTTGGCCCAATACAACAAAGGGCTTGGCCCAATACAACAATAAATGACTAAATAAAAACTAAATAATAACTAAATCAATATTATTTACAACACTCCCCCTCAAGCTGAGGAATAAATATTTATCATTCCCAGCTTGCTAGTAAGTTCTTGAAATCTGTCTGAAGGAAGCCCCTTTGTTAATAGATCAGCCAATTGACGCCCAGTGGGAATGTATGGAGTGGTAATCAACCCGCTATCAAGTTTCTCTTTGATGAAATGGCGGTCAACCTCAATATGTTTAGTCCGATCATGTTGAACTGGATTATGAGCTATACAAATAGCGGACTTATTATCACATAGCAGCTTCATAGGTCCCTCACATTTTATTTTGAGATCATCAAGAACAATTTTCAGCCACAGTAACTCACAAATGCCTTGAGCCATAGCTCGAAATTCAGCTTCTGCACTTGATCTGGCAACCACATCTTGTTTCTTACTTCTCCATGTCACCTAGTTACCGCAAAGAAACATGCAATAACCAGTGGTAGAGCGACGGTCAGTCACGGATCCAGCATAATCAGCATCTGTATAGACTTCTAAAGATAGATTGCCATCACGTCGGAATAACAATCCTTTACCAGGAGTACCTTTAAGATACTGAAGAATTCTCTCTACTGCCTGCATGTGTTTTTCTTTTGGATCGTGCATAAACTGACTGACAACACTAACAGCATAAGCTAGGTCTGGTCTAGTATGGGCCAGATATATCAATTTCCCAACTAGCCGTTGATATTGTCCTTTATCAACTGGAGGACTCTCTTCTTCATAGCCCATCTTGTGATTCTGCTCAATAGAAGTATTAGAGGGTTTACACCCGAGCTTTCCTGCTTCTTTGAGAAGATCAAGAACATATTTCCTCTGGCTGATAAAAATTCCTTTGCTTGAATGAGCTACTTCTTTCCCTAGGAAATATCTCAGTTTCCCAAGGTCTTTGATTTCAAACTCAGAGGCAAGCCGTGTTTGCAGAATCTGTCTCTCCACAAAATCATCACCTGTGATAATAATATCATCAACATATACAAGGAGCACAGTAAGCTTCCCATTTTGGGAGTGCTTGAAGAAAAGAGTGTGATCTCCTTGGCTCTGTCTGTATCCTAAGGTCATCATAACCTTAGTAAATCTTCCAAACCAAGCACGAGGTGACTGCTTCAATCCATACAAGGCCTTTTTTAATCTACAAACTTTATTTTCCCCCTTCACAGAATCAAAACCAGGCGGGATTTCCATGTAGACTTCTTCTTCTAACTCACCATTGAGGAAAGCATTTTTCACATCAAATTGATTTATATCCCAATTGTAATGGGCAGCAAGGGATAACAAGATTCTCACTGTATTCATCTTTGCAACTGGAGCAAAGGTTTCTTCATAATCAATGCCATAGGTTTGAGTGTAACCTTTGGCCACTAATCGAGCCTTATATCTCTCAAGAGTGCCATCAGAATTATATTTCAGGGTATAAACCCATCTGCACCCTACTGCTTTCTTTCCGTTGGGTCTATCAATAACCTCCCATGTTTTATTTTTCTCCAAAGCATTCATCTCCTCTTGCATGGCTTGAGCCCAATTCCTATCTTTCAAGGCTTCATGTACTGATTTTGGGATTGCAATAGAATCTAGTGCTGAAACAAAGCTTTTGTGCTGCACAGAAAGATTAGCAGAGGAAACAAAGTGGGAGATAGGGTATTGAGTACAAGAGGGACAGGAGGAACAAGTTTTCTTGTGACAAGATCTTTTTCCTTTTCTAAGAGCAATAGGTAAGTCATCAGAAGTAGAAGCAATGGGTAAGTCATTAGAGATATCAGAAGAAATAGACAAATCATGAGAGGAAATAATATTAGAATCAGAAACAGGAGATTCAGAAGAAATAGGAGATTCAGGACTTACCAGTGGTTCAGACGATTGAGGTTGCTGGTGAGACAGTATGGGTTGTATCTCAGGTGTATTTGAAGGTTCTGACACACCAGGAGCAGACACACTAGGAAGAGAGAAGATTGATCCAAACTCAAAGAAGGAAGGGGACGAGTCTTCTGAAGAACTATTCTCCCCCTGACGATGAGGACCCAGGAAATAAGATTCAGATTCTTGAAAGGTGACATCCATAGAAACAAAAAATTTCCGACTTGGTGGATGATAACACTTGTACCCTTTTTTATAAGGGTTATAACCAAGGAAGACACACTTAAGAGCCCTAGGATCCAACTTACTCCGATGTTGTTTATGAACATGGACAAAGGCAACACATCCAAACACTCTTGGTGGAAGGCTCTGCAATATGGGAACAGAAGGAAAGAAGGAAGTCATGGAATGAATAGGACTGATATTGTTAAGGACCCGTGAAGGTAAACGGTTGATCAAAAAAGTTGCAGCTAATACTGCTTCTCCCCAATAAGAACTAGGAACAGATGTCTGAAAAAGTAGTGCTCTAGCAACTTCAAGAAGGTGACGATTTTTCCTTTCAGCAACCCCGTTTTGTTGAGGGGTATCAACACATGTGAGCTCATGAATCATACCTCTGTCTGAAATGAATTGTGACAGGCGTTGATTGACGTACTCAGTACCATTATCAGATCTGAGTCTTTTAATACCCTTACCAAACTGAGTCTCAACCATGTGATGAAACCGAATAAATATCTCTGGTACTTCAGACTTGTCTTTCATCAAGTATATCCATGTTATCCGAGTACAATCGTCAATAAAAGAAACAAACCACCTAGCACCTGAAACACTGTGTACTTTAGAAGGGCCCCAAACATCAGAATGGATAAGAGAAAAAGGTTCTCTGCTTTTAATAGTGCTAGAAGGAAATGACACTCGATGGTGTTTTGCAAATTCACAAACATCACAATGAAAGGTCTCAACCGACTTATTGAGAAACAGAGAGGGGAACATAGACTTCAAAAGACTAAATGGTGGATGCCCGAGACGCTTGTGATGGAGCCAAATCATAGACTCTGCAGTAGAAGGATGACGTGTCATTAATAACTGATTTTTGCTAGCATGGTCTGGAAGGAGATGATACAACCCATCCTGTTCATTAGCAACTCCAATTGTCTTCTTCGTGGTAAGATCCTGAATAAGACAATGAGAAGGAAAAAATGTGATAGAACAATTCAAATCAGTTGTAAGTTTTTGAGTGGAGATAAGATTAGTAGAAAGCTGAGGAACATAAAGAACATTTTTAAGAAACAAGGAAGGTTGAATTTGAATGTTACCAGAACCAATAACTGATTTATGGGATCCATCAGCTACGGATATAGTATGACTACCAACAGTAGGATGATAAGAACAAAATAACTCAGTACGACAAGCCATATGATCAGTTGCACCAGAATCCAAAATCCATGAGGTTTTAAAATCAGTGCAAGAAGCAAGAAGAGATATAGAACGTGTGCTCTTACCAGATAAGATCGAAGAACTATCATGCTCAGCCATTCTTTAACAAAAAAAGTTAACAACCAGCGATAAAATCAACCAAACAGAATATCAAATGACCTCTGATCAGAAAAATAATTACAGATCCAGACAGAAGACAAGAAGACGAGAAGAATGGTGGTGGTCCGGTCCAAAAACACGGCCGCACGCGCCTCCACGCGCCGGAGAAAGGAGCTGCGCGTGGGATTCACTCGCCGGGAAAGGGGCGGCGCGTGAGAGCGCGTGGATGGGCTTCGCCGGCTGAGATTTTTCTGGTGTGGTCGTCCGGTGAGCGCACACCTGTCTGTGGGTGGTTGCGGTTGAAAAGTCGCCGGAAAGTGGTCCAAACGGTGAAGACAGATCTGATTGGAGGCGATCGGAGGTGTTTCGGTCGTTTGTGGCGGAGGAACACTGCGTAGAATGATAGATCGGAGGAAAAATAAGGTCAACAATGGTCCCCTTGGTCCAAAAGGTCCCCGGAAAAATTTTCCGGTGGCGGCTAATGGCGGCAAGAGGCAAAGAAATTAGGGTTTTGTTAAAAAAGAAGATAATATGTGCGGAAGCAAAGCCCTCAGATCGAGAGCTCTGATACCAACTTGAAAAAGGGTATTCTAATATATTATAGAATTGTAAATAATCTGTACAAAGGGTTCTCTATTTATAGAGAATATTTGACCTACTTTTAACCTAATGGGCTTGGCCCAATACAACAAAGGGCTTGGCCCAATACAACAATAAATGACTAAATAAAAACTAAATAATAACTAAATCAATATTATTTACAACAATGTTCCTACCATTTATTGGGGTGATGCTGTCCTCACTGCATGTTATCTTTTTAATCGCATGCCCTCCTCCGTCCTTGATAACCAGGTACCGTACTCTATCTTGTTTCCCCATCGGCCTTTATATTCCTTACCCCTTCGTATTTTTGGATCTACTTGTTTTGTCCATGAACTCGGCCCCAATCGTGACAAATTGTCTGCTAAGTCCCACAAATGTGTGTTTCTCGGTTACCCTCGAACACAAAAAGGTTATCGATGTTACTCTCCCAGTCTCCGTTGCTCTTTTGTCTCGGCGGACGTTACCTTCTTTGAGTCTGTGCCATTTTTTAGCTCCGCCTCTGTTCCTAGTGATTCTGTTGATAGTCTGTTTCCTTTTCCCTCTGTTCCAGTTCAATATGTCCCGGCACCAGATCCTCTACCACCATTGCCTTCTTTCACATCTTCAGATGTCCCGGCACAAGATCCCCCTCTTCAGGTTTATCACCGTCGGCCACGTCCACTTATGTCCCAAGACACTGACTCTGTTGTTAATGAGGTTCCTGTGGACTCAGTTCCGTCGTCATCCACTCCTACGGCTTCGGTCCCGCCCTCAGACATTGACCTTCCCATTGCTCTCCGGAAAGGTACTCGTGATACTCGTCCTCCACTCCTACGGCTTCGGTCCCGCCCTCAGACATTGACCTACCCATTGCTCTCCGGAAAGTTTCTCGTGATACTCGTCCTCCACTCAGGTATTCAATAAATATGAGTTATCATCATCTTTCTCCATCACATTTTGCTTGCCTCTCTTCTTTGTCTTCTGTGTCTGTTCCTAAGATGTGTGCACTTCATGGCAGTGGTACTTGGGATCTAGTTCCTCTTCCCTCTGGAAAATCTGTTGTTGGATGCAGATGGCATTTGTTCGCCTCTTTATTACTATGGCTGCCATCCGTCACTGGCCCCTCTATCAATTAGATGTCAAAAATGCTTTCTTCAATGGTGATCTTGCAGAAGAAGTTTACATGGAGCAACCTCCTGGGTTTGTTGCTCAGGGGGAGTCTGGTTTAGTTTGTCGACTCCCGAAATCATTGTATGGTCTCAAACAATCTCCACGAGCTTGGTTTGAGAGGTTTAGCACCATTGTCCAGCAGTTTGGTATGACTCGAAGTGAGGCTGATCACTCGGTATTTTATCGCCACTCAGACTCCGGATCCATTTATTTGGTGGTATATGTTGATGGCATTGTCATTACAGGAGACGACCATCAAGGCATTACTCAGTTAAAACAACACCTCAATTGTCATTTTCAAACAAAGGATCTCGGAAGATTACGATATTTCTTGAGAATTGAAGTGGCTCAATCCAAGGATGGTATTGTGATATCCCAAAGGAAATATATTATGGATATTCTTGAGGAGACAACTCTGTCGAATGCTAAGCCCGTCGATACTCCTATGGATCCAAATGTCAAGCTTGTGCCAAATCAGGGGGAACTATTTTCAGATCCAGAAAGGTATAGAAGATTGGTTGGGAAGCTGAACTATCTCACAGTTACTCGACCAGACATCTCGTTTGCAGTCAGTGTAGTAAGTCAGTTCTTGAATTCTCCTTGTGAAGATCACTGGAATGCAGTGATCCGTATTCTCAAGTACATCAAGAATGCTCCAGGTAAATGTCTCCTCTATATAAACAAAGGTCATACCAGAGTTGAGGGATACTCAAATGTTGATTGGGCAGGTTCCCCCAGTGATAGAAGATCCACATCTGGGTATTGTGTATTCGTTGGAGGTAACTTGGTTTCATGGAAAAGCAAGAAACAAAGTGTAGTTGCCAGATCAAGTGCTGAAGCAGAATATCCCTCCATGGCCACAGCCACATGTGAACTCATCTGGTTAAATCGACTACTAAAGGAACTCAAGTTTGGAGACATTGACTCAGCATCTCTCATTTGCGATAATCAAGCTGCTTTACATATTGCTTCCAATCCAGTGTTTCATGAAAGGACCAAGCACATTGAAGTAGACTGTCATTTTGTCAGAGAAAAAGTCCTCTCAGGAGAAATAGTCACTAGTTTTGTTAACTCAACTGATCAATTAGCTGATGTATTCACAAAATCTTTGAGGGGGCCTAGGATAGATCACTTATGTAACAAGCTTGGTGCATATGATCTATATGCTCCAGCTTGAGGGGGAGTGTTGTGAATATTAGTTTAGAATAGTAGTTTACTAGTCCCACATCATGTATATCTCTTTGTACTTCCTTTCTTTTCAGTTATATAATAGACTCTCCGCTGTGTAGTCAAGACACACGGATTACTCACAACCTCTCGGGTCCTGATATTTAACACCTATTTTATATCCTTCTAATAACTTCTTTTCTTACCAAAAGGTGATAATATAACCTGATAGATTCCATATTTCTGACTTGCTTCTAGTACAATATGCAACTTCTGGGTGTTCATTTATTATTTTTTACCTGTGGCATTCTTGTAAGTACTGGAGTTGTTGTCTCAAGCTTGCTGCTTCTGTCTGCCAAAACTAACAAGTAGAAATACAAATATCAAATATATTAACGTTGTTATTATGTAATGATATTATTTTAAATGCAAGAATTGTAATGTATAAAATTCTAAGACTAACATTAGGGGTAAGAAAAAACATGAGGATGGTTTTGAGACCAGAATTATTGGCATTATGTTGATTTGCCTGATTATTTTGCTACATGTAGTTTCATTTTTGTGTCCTAATATTGTTTTTAATGGTCTCCCTAAATAGATTATCCCTCTAATGATTGAGTTCAATTAGGATAATAAGAAGCGGCATTGTCATGGTTTCAAGGTAGACAAGGTTTGCTCCTCTTAAATAGTTGATGCCCAAATTTCTCCTTTCCATCAATGGGACCAAAGAGGGTAACAGAGATCTGGGTAAATAGACACAAGAGGATGGTTGCTAATCTTTTTTTTTTTTTTTTTTTTGTACTCTTTTTTACACCGGCATGCATGATACTGAAGGTCTATATTTTAAGATCCCGGCATAATGGGAGTATAGTATATATACTAAGTATCATATGTATTTTGAATCTTTCAATTGCTGTACTTATTAAGAACCAACTGTCCCAAAAGCTTAAATTGACAAATGTAGCTCATTGATTTATATATCTAACATGCCTTCTCACGTTAGAGCTCTTTTAGCTTGAAGTGTTGCCAATGTACATGCCCAATTTTATGAGTTTCCCAAATATCAACAAGTAGACACAAGTTAGTTACAATAGAGTATCAATAGTGAGTTAGAGAGGTTGGAAGGACAGGTGTTTAGCTTAAATATGGAAAGGGGTATGAGGGAGTAAATAGAGAGTGATTAGCATTGAGAAAACAAATTAGTGATTTAATTGTAGAGGACGGTTAATTTACAAACTAAATAGTTTACAAATTCTTATAACTAAATCTTAACTGTTGGTTTCTGTCAATCTAACAGTTATAATTTATTTAGTCATATTTATTAATTAAATATTAATTCCCAATAAGTTATAACCGTTAGATTGACGGAAACCAACAATTAAGATTTGGTTATAAGAGTTTGTAAATTATTTAGTTTGTAAATATAATCTTCCTCTTAATTGTAAGGAGAAACCCTTAAGAAGATTTTTCTCATTTTCTGATTTATATTCAAACATAAAAAAAGGTTCATTCTATTTTTTCCCCTATCTTTTATCTAATTTCCCTGTTCATGTTTGTAGGTTCGTAACCTATGTAGCACCGATACGATACGCGACACGTGACACGACACGACACTCCGACACGTCAATCCTAAAAAATTATGAATTTCGACACGTTGGGACACGTTTTAATATTAAATAATTTTTTTAATTTACATAGTGTATATTTCATTTAATATTTAATAATTTAACAAAAAAGTGAAACTAAATTAATAATACCCATCAACACATTATAAAGATGGAAGCTTTAATAAAAAAAATAAGAACTGGGATGAGAAAGAGATATAATAGCAGATAGAGAGATCAAATCATATTAGAGAGAGATCAGAGAAAAGGAGATACAACAAGAGCGTGATAGGAATTGACAACAATGATGCTGAGATGATCTCTTATCTACTTAAAGAGAAAAAAGACAAAAAAATAAAATTGATATGATCAGGTGGAAGCTTTATTAATATATATTAATTTTAAAAAATATAAATTTTTTAAAAAAAAATTACGAAAATGCCATTTGATCGTGTCGGACACGGTCAAATTCGCGTGTCGGAATGGTCAACGTGTCGAAAAAAGTTGACTGCGTGTCCGACACCGTGTCGGACACGACTCTCCCTGTTTTTACTAGTGTCCGTGCTTCCTTGTTCGTAACAAATTGGTTCTCTAATGGTTTGGACCTGGCCCATTAGATCAAAAAATGAGGTCATTGGTGTAAGTCCAATTTTGTCCCGCTTTCCTTCTCATTCACACTGCGTCCGTTTGCAGGAACCATCACCTCATATGCAATCCCCCCATCAGCTGCTTTACAAAGACTTGAGTCTAGCTGGGGAAGATTGGCAGGCATGATCTAGAGCTCACTCATAGTTGATGACCCATCCACTTTTAAGGGTGACTCTGAGTCCGGTGGTTCCAGCAGTGGCCGGGGGTTGATTGGACTGCACGAAACCCAAACCTTAATGGGGAAACCAGCATGTCTAGCAAGAAGTAATGTGGGAATCTACTTGCTCTTATTTTTATAGAAGGTAAAATAATTAGGGCAACTACAATAATATTATGCTTTTCAATTTTCTCAACCTCCCTCTGATTTGATGGTGGAATGGTTTTAACCAATGGAGGGGGTCTTTGATTTTTTTTTTTTCCTTTTCCCTTAAATAAGAAAAACTACAGATATTCTTATTAATGTCTGTTAGGATCCAACAATTGATAAAAGAAAACAGAAGTCGGATATGGAAGGTTGTGTTGATGAAAGCTAATCCAAAACGAAATCAGCTATCGAAGCTTACAAAATGTATAAAGAAAGCAAAGAAAAATGTAGAAAAATTAACAGACTCGGAGCAATTCGAGAGGCTCTGAAATCTCTCCCAAGTTTCTAGTCCCAAATTGCCAAGATAATATTTCTGTTGCTGCCACTTCTATTTATATCAGCCATCAGGTTGTTAAGCTTCTGTACATTCCCTTCATTTCTCTCTTCCCAAATCCAATTTCCCTCCGACTGAATTCTGCTGAGTCTAGTCTAGAAAATTCCAGCCCAATCAGTTATATTGCTGACTCAGTATAGTTTCTTCCCTAAATTGCTCTTAGGGTGGTATTGTATCAATACTCCCCCTTTTAAACACCTTGTCCTCAAGGTGCAGTTCAGCTTGTGAAAACCCTCCTCCAAGATCCCATTGCTTGAAATTTAGGAATCCACATATGCAAGAAGCATGATTACGTCCTCCAGGGCAAAAGCCATATGGTTATAGACATAGCCAAGGCATTCTAGTAGGAAATTTGGGTTGGAAGCTTCGCCCCAATATTGGAAGATAGGTACCCTTGTATGGCACTTTACATAGCGGCACTTCCAGCTCTATGGTTGGAACCCAAGGACTACTCTTTTGATCCAAATACATACACATTTTTCCACACTGTCTCCCAATTATAATCGAGCGGTGCGACTGATAACGCTGGTATTGCAGTGTTCGCTCAGGGCTAGTAAAATATTAGCGCTAAGCTAGCCCACATGGGCAATGAGGCTGCGACGAATGGTGGGATGTTAAGATCTAGTTGCAAGGTATGAGACTTAGAATCTCACATCGGAAACATAAGGCTTTGGTGTGGGGTTTATATGGACTTTGGGCTCTCCTACCTTATAAACTAGCTTTCGAGGTGAGGCACTCCCAAGGTTTGTATCAGTGTCTTTCATCTTTCTCCAGGTTCTGTCTCCCCCAAAGTCTGTGTTGGTTATATAAGCTAAATGTAGTGGGGAAAATAGAGCTGCTTTAATTGGAATCTTGGCTGCCATCTCTTTCCTTGATCCTTCTTTGGTAAGTTAATATGGGCTTCTCATGAGCATGTTTCTCTCTGGGACATTAATAAATATATTCTGAATTTTTTTGTTCTATTATATTTTTTTTCCCCCATTGCTAGATTAAGACGTGACCATTCTTTCATTCCAATTTTAATTTTTTTGGTTTTTCCACAATGGCATCTAACTTATTGGCATGTCCACTATAGATTGTCTTTTGTCACACTATATTCTTCTTGATGAAATAACACAATGGGTGATTACAAGGACAGTAGACATTACTTCCTAGTGAATTTACAGAGTTTGTTGCCTACAAATACAGTTATATGGTTAGTCTTTCAAGGTTTAGAGGTTAGTTTGTAGCTAAGGGTAACACGGCATTTAGGTCATTTTCTGATTCTATTTTGGTATAAATGCAATTTATGGCTTGCTGGATTGGTGGTTTCTCCGCTTTCATTGGTTCCTGCTCTCCATTACACGTGGAACTGTGGGCTGTGTATCATGGTCTAGCCTTTGCCTGGAATCATGGATGGAAGCAAATTGCTTTGGAATCGGACTCTTCACAAGCTTTAAGCTTACTTACGTGTGATGGTAATGACACTCGAAAGCTACCTATGGTAGCTAAGATTCGAGTTTTTCTTCAAAAGGATTGGACTATTCAGTTAAATCGGATCCAGAGAAAGTGCAATTTATGTGCGGACTGGATTGCGAAAAAGGCTATGGATGATCCACATGGTCTTATCTCAATCTCATCTCCCCACAGTGATCTTATCAACCTCTTAGCTGCTGATATTCTGGACCCTGGAGATGAGGCTGGCTATCACTAGGAGGCTAAGTTTTAGTCTTTGCTTCTGCGTTTTGCTCTGTTTGTAGTTTTGTTTCCTGTTTTTCGTTTTAGTTTTCTGTCTCTGGGGCTTTTCCCCTTCTTGTTACCAAAAACAAAATAAAAATAAATAAATGCAATTTATGGCATGCTTTTAAGGGATACTGCGAAGCCCAAGTGAACCATACAGTTGCATAGGTATGGATTTATTTTTTACGAGATAAATTATGGAGCTCATTTACAAAAGAGATTCTTGTTCCAATATCTGATTTGTTATGTGGATTCTTAGACCTAGTTTTTGACTACATGACTGATGTAATAATTGATAGAGCCTGTGAGCTTTATTGAGAAAGTATGTGATTTTCTATAGTAATCACTTAAGAACCTACACGAACTGGTGAGTTTGAGTTGGTATTTCTTGCCAATCGTATACGTCCTGCAGAATGGTGTTATTAACCATTCTATGAGTAAACGTTGGATAGGAAGGCCAGGTCTTTCTGTTTGCAAATACACTACACCAATGCACGATTATGCTGATTCCAATCTATTAAATTTTGTCAACATGTCTCCAAAGAAGGTTTCGGTTTCGTAGGCATACTACAGAAGACTTCATGAGTAAATACTGTTGAGGGCACCGAGCTAGGGTTTTTAGCTTTATTCATTTTTTTTTTTTTTTGAGAATTTGATTGAGGCCTCCTATTTTCTATACACACAAAATTCTGGTAAGTCTAGATATCAATTATTACCATATTAACAGAAGGATTTTTTTTTCTACTTTATAAAAGTAATTAACTGTGTCAGAGAATGTCATACGAAGACAGCAACAAGTTTTAATTATTTTGACTGGTCAGTGAAGCTAATGAATTAGACTATTAATTTCTAGCGGTAGTTGTGTCTTACGAGCATGTCTAGCACAATTTCTCTTGCACATTATAGCTCCTCAACTCTCTCTCTCTCTCTCTCTCTCTCTATATATATATATATATATATATATATATATATATATATATTGGAATAAGAGAATATCAAGCATGTGTAAACTGTAAAATATGGAATGAAAGTCTCATAAAGCAGGCAACAATTATCACTCAGCATTTGAGTTATACATACATGTATTTGCATCTGTAATCGGGGGTAAAAAAACAGTTTTGGATGTAGTCATGAGTACTGCTGACATCATCGGATCATGTATGGGTAGTGGACTGGGAGATTTGTAGTTTTCCCTATTAAACATTTACGGTTTGGCTACCAATTTTAGAGCACATTAATGAAACTTTTAAGTTAAGTTAAAAAAAAAGTTTTAAAAATGAAGTTATAAGTCCTTTGATGATTATATAAATTTTTTAGTTTAAAAGTTATTTATTTCAAAAAAAGTATATATTTTAAAAAAATCTGATACAATTTAAAAAAAGCTCTTTGTAGGAATATTTGACTTTCTTCTGGTTTTTTTTCTTAATTATAAAAGAAAATTTATAAGCGCTTTTGTAAAAATTTATTTAGCCTAGTTTTTACTTACAAGAAGAAAAGAAGTTAAAAAAAAAGACCTTCGAAATAGGCACTTAGTTACTAAATGCAAGATGGTGTAGTTTAGGTATCCTTCCAAAGAAATTGAACTAGTTTCTATGTGCGAACTACTGGAATAATGAATGTGTAGTAAATTAATGCACAAAAGCTTTAAGCTAACTGGATGGATGGTATATATATATATGAACAGTTACCTTAACTTCTGAAGCTGGATTCATTTGCTGATGTTGTTCCTCCTTTAGCTTGTTATAGCGCTCAATAACAGATTTCATACTGCCATAAATGTAGGAAGTCGATATAAGTTAGTATTTTTGCAACTTTGGACGAGCACAAAACGTTTTACTGCATTAACTAATTTAATATGATGTAAGAAGCGTGGTATTAATTTAGAATTTTAAACCTTAGTTTGAAATTTTAAAAAATTCTAGAATGGATGAAATTTTTTTTGACTATCTATTGGTAAACATTGCAATCACGGGCTCAAAGTGGCACTGGATATGAGGAAAACTATCCAATGAGGGGTCGATAATCCTATAGGCGTGTTTGGTAGGTGGATTTATTTTGAATTCCTAAAAAAATGAGATTGAGAATGCTATTTTTCCATGTTTGGAAGAGGGATTTTGAAGATTTTCTCAAGAAAATCAAATTCCTGAGATTTGAAATTATGAAGAAGATTCCCATTTCAAAATACCACCAAATGGGTGTGGTATTCTTGAAATCTCACCCTGTGGAAAAATACATCAAAATTTTTGGGACAAAAATACTCTTCTCCTTTCGCTCAGTTTGAAGCTTGCAGATTCAACCCTAGACCAGTCTATGAAGTTTAAGAGATCAACTTGATCACCAAAAACAATAATCAAACGGTCAGAACTTTCATCGAATTAACTCATCATTGATTCGAAAACATTGAATCTTACTTGACCCTGAATACATTGCTATACAATATGCATATGATAGAGAGAGAGAGAGAGAGAGAGAGAGAAATAGGGCAAAGAAGAAAAAGAGAGAATCAAATATCAATGACCGAAATCAAACCCAATGAGTTTCATTCCCGGGGATGGTGAGTTTGATAATTGGGAGGTTTAATTTTGTAAAATCATCACATATTCCAAGCAATATTTTACTATCAATCAAATATAGTATTATGAAAATTAACCCAACATTCCTGGGAATATTTTGGCTTATCAAACAACTTTTTGGACATATTCCCGGAAAACTCATTTTCGTACCAAATTTTTGAGAATCACAATTCCCGAGTAATTTTTTTTTCCTCTACCAAACACCGGTCTACGGTCAACAGTCTCTCAACATTCATGGCACGAATCGGACATTTGAAAGAAATTATACAAATAAATAGAGACCAGCCCCATAAAGCACCCATTAAACCTTCAAAATGCAGTAAATGACTCTCTTTAATTTTTAATAAAAAAAAATAGCTGTGATATTAACTTGCTCAACCTTTCAACAGGTGAAAATAGCCACATATTTCATAACTTGATGTAAATATTAAAGCCCAAAAAAGTCAACATAATGGAATAAAATCAGCTAAGAGCAAACCTCATGACTCAATACACTACTTCCTTATTTTCTTTGCCTTCTTGGTAAATGAAAGAATTCCTCACCATGTAAAGTTTTGGTTGCCAAAATAAACTTCCTAGTTCTTGTTTGCGCGCGCACACACTAAAGAGCTTGTTTGGCTTCATCAATTTAGTTCTTTGTCAGCTCAATCTTTGATATAAGATAAAACACTCGTTATAGGACTTTGTTTTCTTTGCAATAATGAATTATGGTCGAAATGGGAAACATTGCTCAAATAATCATGGGCGGCGGAGGAGAAAGTTGGTCTGGCAACCAAGCCAAGCCGATTGAGCAAAGGAAGACAAATATTGATTCTGAAACAACAATGACAAGGCAGAAACGACGCCGTCAAACTTGAATTACAAGCTGAGACAAGGTCTGCTTTGGTTGGGGAGAGCCAAACAAGAAGGCTAACAATTTGCAATAGTGGAGTTCGAGCAGGAGGTCAAAGGCAATTGGGAAGATGTTCCTCAATACAAAGCTGTGCAGGGTGTTGCAAGAAGAGAGGTATGAAAGAAAAAAAAAAAAAAAGCCACAAGCTAGAAGCTTTTCCCAGCAACTTCTCATGAGAAACTCTTTACATGATTTTTCTTCATTAAAAAAATGAAGTTACTAATTTTTTAAGAGTTTCTCTAATATACTGTTTGGCCAGACTTGTCATTTTAAGGAGATGAGAGTACTGAATTTAAAGTTATTTTGTATTTATTTCAACTGATAGCAAGAATTGTTAAGCAACTCGGCGTGGTCAATAAGTGGGTTGGTTAGAAATGAACATGACAATCATCAATCATCAATCATGTGGATCATTTGGTAAGAGTTTGTTCCAGCTTAATTAATGGTCTCGAGTTCGAGTCGTGGGTATACAAAGTCTCATCAGGGTAGCACATTAAAAGTACTAAGAATTGAAGCACTTTGTTTTTAAGGCTTAGGTTGATTCATGCCCCAAGGAACTTTCCTTTGGTGAGTATTTGAGAAAGTTATATTTACAAATTTTATGTTTACAAACTCTTATAAACTACACTAAATATGACCGGTCATACTTCAATCAAGAGTATATGACCGATCATACTTAGTGTAATTTGTATAAAAAGTTCGTAAATGAATCCTACCCCTAAGTACTATATGTCTTAGTTGAAGGTTGTGGCAGGCTGTTACCAAGGCTTGAACAAGCAAGCTAGTAAGCCTGTTTATTTTCAAAAAAATAATAGATAAATGATAGAAACGGATAAAAGGGTAAAACTCATAAAAACTCCCTGATATAGTAGTTTATACATGTGTCTAGATAAAATAACATCATAAAATGCATAGTGAGAACCATCATCAAAATTAAAATCCAAAAATAAAATTTGGGCTGAGTGGACTAGCTAGCAATAATATATATTGCCTCAAAACTTGAACAGATAGATTCGTTTAATTCGACGTTTAAATGAGTTTCCAACAGAAAATTCATCCTATATGCATACCAATTGGATCCATCTCATATGCCGACTCCATTAACAATACCAATCAAAAGTTAGCTAGGAGAGTCATTTGCGTAGAATGTTTACCTTCATTACACAAAAATGGTTAGGTTAACGAAGATAATATATTTTATTTCAACTATATAAAAATTTCGCTTCTATACTCCTAATTGCTAAAATGCGCATGAAATGATTTGTTTAGATTATATAGTATTTGATGTTTTAGGGTGAATTTAATTTAAAAAAATACTAACCACTGCAAAACAATCATAATATATAATTGTAAGCAAACTGCAAAAAAATAATAATAGCTTTTCAAACTAAATTCTGTAATTATAATCAGCTTCCCTCACTTGCACTAAAAAATGTGATGATATAGTCCAAATATTTTTTATCACCAAAAAGCTATTATTGAAAAATAATAATTAAGCATCACCAAACATCCGGTTCTTAAATCAAAAACAGCTTTTATTGAAATAAAAATATATTATTGGGAAAAAATATTCTTTCTAAGACATACACTTGATTGTAGAAACTCCAGTCATAGATGGGGTATATACATTATTATTTTACATTCAAACTCCTATCAAGAAAAAAAAACAAGTGTTAGGCCATTAATATGTAACAAAGAAGATACATTAACCTTTGAAATTATATAAATTTAAGTAGAAAAGGAAGAAGGGAACTTTTTGAATTTATTAATGAAATATAAGAAAATAAGGAAATTATTTCTAAGACATCATGTAATATATTCTAAACTATTTTAAGTAATCCAAAAAATATATATTTTAAGATACCATCAAGATATTATGAGATATTTTTCATATATTCTAACAATCTCCTTCAAGTTAAAGTTTATTAAGTTTTAAACTTGTTACAAATGAATAATTTAAAAGTGAAAACTAATCAAGCAATATAATCTAGGCCTCCACAAAATATGGATAGAAAGATAACTTACTGACGCTGAAGACGCCAGGGAGATAAGCATTGATGAAAAGTCAACTTGGCAAGATGGTTGGAATGATCAAAAGTATGAAGAGATAGTTGAAAATATGCATGACCAAGGAAGGAGAGTCTTTTTGAAATTGAACTTAGGTTGGTGTGCATCACAAACATGTAGAATTCATCATTGGTATGATTTCTCAGTGAGATATGGGAGATTGGTATGAATCACAACCAGTTCATCATTGTATAATATAGTGGTAAGAAAGAAGTCGCTGAAAAAGCCATCGGATAGTGATATATGAGGTTGTTTTCGTCCGGAAACCACCAAGAATGGACTGATCCCAGAGGAGAGTATGATGGTGTGATCATTGGTCAAAAAATGGTTAGATAACGCAGGACAACAGAGAGGAGGCTACCGTAAAGATGAATTGGCAATAGACTGAACGGATATAAGGATTTTGTAAAGGATAAGAGTGTAGAGGAAAAAGTCACAGCCGTGCTTTTGTAGATGAAAAACTTTTTTAGCAAGTGAAATACAATTATTAAGAATATGGTGAAAAAATGAGTTTGGTAGGAAAATTAAAAAAAAGTTGTTTGGTAAGTCGAAATATTACCAAAAAAATTGGGTTAAATTTTCAGAGTCTATGTTTAGTTGAAGGTAAAATATTAACGTGAAAATGGGTTGAAATTACAAAATAATTCTTATAATTTTTGAATCGGTAATCCCAAAATACCACGTTGGAAATGGTATTTTGAAACAATAATTTTCATCACAAAATGCACACAAATGACAAATTCGAGGCAACTTATTTTATTGGATTAATTTTTTTCAAATTTGTATCAAACATGGTATTATTAGATATCCACCCACACTTCCTCAGCCATCGCAAAAGAAAACTCTCAGCAAAGATCACCTCGTACAAAAACACTGCTAACAATGCGGTGGTGAGAAATCATAACATAGAGGAGGCCATTTGGATGAGTATTTTTTTATAGCCAAAAATTATTATTTTTTTTTAAAAATATATTTCTATTACAAAGTCCGTTTGGACGTCTGCTTTAAAAAGAAAAACATAACTAACAAAAAAAATTCAAAAAACTACTTTATTTAGAGGTTAAAAATTTTAATTTCTAAAAAAAAAAAAAAAGTCAAAAGTCCAAAGGTTTTTTTTTCAAAAATCAAATACTTTTAAAAAAAATCTAAATAGATTTTGATTTTATAAAAAATACTTCTAAAATAAATAAGACGTAAAAAGTTATTTTTTATAAGTTCATCCAAACTGGCCCATAGAGGCGGTGCAAAGCTAAAAACACATTAAGAAAGACTATTGCTTGTTTGAAATTAGTTTTCCAAAACAGTTTTTGATTTTTAGAATAAAACAAAAAAATCTGTTTGATAGGGTTTGTTTTGTAAAAAAAATTAAAACTGTAACAGTTTTTTGTTTTGTTTTTATAATCAAATTTAGAAAACATGTATATATAGGGTTATTTTTATTTTTTGTTTTTGTTTTTAACTTTCAAAATAAAAATAATAAATAGAAAACAAATATTTTCATAGCTATTTTACAAAACAGTTTTAACCACACAAAAACCAGCACAATCAAACAAGCTCTATAGGGTGTTTGAATATGATTTTGTTTTTGAACACTATTTTGAATATAAATTTTGAAAAATGATGTAGAGAATATGTTGGATTTAAAGTTATAGAGAAGTTGTATTTGTTTACAAGAATGTCATTAATAAACTTTTATAATTACAAAATTGTCACAGTAAAATAATTTAAAATTAAAAAATTGGATTTAATTACGAAAAATGTCATTAATGAATTCTCGTAATAATAAAATTGCTATCACAAAAAAAATAAACCAATAAATAATTTTTGAGAACATCTCAAACTTGTTCTCCTTTTTTTAGTTTTAAAAACTAAAAAACAATTATTGTTTTAAAAATTCTCTTGCAAAACAACCATATATTTTCAAATAATTTTTTCTTCTTCTAAAATTTAAAAAACTGTTTTAAAAACAGAAATCAAACAGGTCCTTTGATTTTGAAGGAAAGAAAATAATCATAGAAATAAAGTAGAGTTCCGAATTTTAAGAAACTTGGAATCAAATTAGTAACAAAGAATGATACCTCTCTGATAGTATATTGAAATTATAAAGAATTAAGTAACGAAGAAAGAAAAGGGAGAATAAAAACTGAATAATATGATTTTGATATTAATTTAATGAATTATGGTATGATAAAAGTTACAAAGCATTAATATCTATTTATACAATATTAAATTTTAAATCTAGTCAAATAAGAATTAAATTAAATTATAAAATATAAAAAATAAAAAATTATTGCAAAAAAATCACATAATATACTCCAAACTATTTTATGATACAATCAAAATATTACAAGATATTTTCATATATTCTATTATTAACTAGTAACTATTGTCTTGACGACCACTATTTTAATATAGTGTTATTAAACCTGACCCGGACATCGACCCGATCGGGATACTGGATCATTGGTCGGACCAGTTGACCCGGATATATATAGATATATAAAAATATATATAAATATAAACATATAAATTTAATTATATGTTGAATAACGGAGAGAAAACTTGAGGAAGTGAAATTCTTGTTTTGGTATTGAATTTCTTCTCTTTCACCTCGTGGAACCTAGAGGGGCTGAACCACATTAAACTTAGTTGTCTATTGTCTTATTTAAATCTTGTAGTATATCATTTTCTACGTGTAGTCGACCCCTTTAGAGCGAGGACCCATTAATAGTTGGGTGAAGCTTAACAATTGCTATTAGAGTTGATGGTTTTAGGATCCATTGTGTCGAGCACTTCCCTTGATGTGGAGATCAGATTCATTAATATTAATGATGGAAGATCAGGCAACGTATTCTGTTTAAGAATTTGGTTGAAGGAAGAGAGCTATAATTGGCTCATTGCAAGGAGGAGGACGCCAGCAATAAAGGAGCGACATCATCGATCAATGCCATTTCATCTGAGGGCACCACATCAACAATTATTGAGGTACTTGTTAATGTTGTTTTTTGGTTGGTGTTTTAAGTAGGGAGGAGTGTTTTACCGCATTGAAATTAATGTGATTTGGAGTGCGCAAATTAATGAGAAGATGAAGATAATGAGAATAATATCAATGACAGTTTGAATTGTTTGAGGACTTCCCTAAGGAAAGGTCTGTTAGGCATTTGATTGACTTAAGTACCACCTTCCTTGTGATGCAGAACTTACAAATGAGTCTCACCTACAAATAAGCATTTGCGATTATGGTGCATAAGCCGTTAGAGAGAAACATTCCTCACGACACCATGTCATGTAAAAGGATCCGAATTATTATAGGCAAATCAATAGTTATTAGAGGTGACAGAGAGTGACAAACTCAATATTTAGATAGGGAGTGACAAAATCATCAATGTTGATTTATCTATGACATGGTCATGTTAACAAGAGTTTGGGAGGATGATTTGAAACTTTTCTTAAAAGTTTCCTTGTATATAGGTGGAAAGAGTTTCTGACTTTATTTGTACAAAATTTGCAATTTTGTAAGTGTTGAATAATAAACTTGATCCATTGAGTTTAGTTGTTAAATGACCCAATATCTAGAAATATCCAATTGATGCTTAGCCGAATTCTAGAGTAATCAACTCTAGATTACTCAATGAAAATATCTAGAGAATCGTTGTACCTAAAAATCACCATCATTAATTTCTAGGGAATTTTTTTAATATGGTCCGGACCACCATGATCCTTCAACTAAAAAATTGACACCTGAATCAACTTTTTTTTTTCTTTCTTCTCTCTTCTCTCTCCTCAATCTTTTCTCTCTTTCTCTCACTTTAGTCCCACCAAATTATTTTTGCTCCGGGAGCACACAAACTTCGCTCAATTTCTAGGCTAGGAGATTGTGGAGAGTTCTAGTGAATGATTTGTAGCCCTTAGATGAAATTGTGTTGGCACAATCCTAATCATTAGTTAAAGAGGTGCCACTAGTATAAATATGTATGTTCTCCATCATTTTGTATCAAGCCAAAAGAATAAGAGTTGAGTAGAAATAAAGAGTTCTCTTCTTCCAAATCTTTCTAATTTTTCGGTTTCTCAAATATCATCCTCCCAACAAGAAGAGATATGATATTTTAAGGGTATTATAGAGATCTAGGGATATTGGTTAGGAAGTTCTGGGTCGAAACGAGCATAGTAAGTTATGACTGAAAAACTAGCAATAATTAGGGGTTCAAATTTGAGCAATAGTAAGTCGGAAAAGGAGCATAGATCATATCATCATAGGAAACTTCTTGGGCTAAAATACAGGTAGGCATGTAACTGACAATTTAGCAGTTCTAGTCAAAGTTATGGCTTTAAGATTGAATTGGATTTACAAGATTGGTGAAGGGTAATTATTAAATTATGATGAAATTGTTTCATATACTGTCCTAATTTGTGTGGTTTTCTATATTAACAAATGGTATCCCTCATTTGATTTCGACCCTATAGTAGAGTAATGAATCCATTACAAGTGTTTATTTTGCATTCTTTGACAATTTTAACTGCACGGATAGAGTAAGATCCTCTATCGTATAAAATCGTATCTACCCATAGCGATGGTTTGAATTGAGAAAAGTTAATTAGAAGTAGGTGCTCAAAAGGTGGGGCAATGAACTACTCATTCATTGCTACAACTTTATGATATTCTAACTCCCATGTTACCTCCCTTCTTTTGTTGTGTGTGTATAATTTGTAGCTTTTGTACATTGCATGTGGAACAATGCCTCGCATGCATGCGCGTGGATTGCAATTATATATATAATGCAGCTCACTTATCCAGAACAACATATATATCTTGCAGTCTTTTACATTAAAAATTATTTCACGGGAGCATTTTATAGGTATATTTCATAATAAAATTAACTACTGCTTCAAGAATATATAAAAGAAAAGGTAGATGCCTTAATCTATAATATATTCATCATAAATGAGGTTTTACCAGTTTAATTAATATACCTACCTAATACTAATAGACCTATATTCAAAACGTAGATGACTTCTAAGATTACTAGAGTTAAAGAAGAAGCTTACGTTTGTGTTCTTCTCATTACTTTATTATGAATACTGTACTGCATGGTACTTTTGAAGGAAAAACTTATAAAGGGAGTCAAGCTAGGAACAAAAAGGAGAAGCATATATAATAAGGATCGAGGAAGAAAAAGAGCAGATCATTCTCATTTTAGAACGAAGTTATTCTGCTGGTTTCTAGATTTCTTTCCTTAAGAAATAAAAAGGTGCAGATCAGGAATATAATCATGAAGATTAACACCATGCATAAGCTCATGCATGCCTTTTTTCTTACTATATATATAAATTAACCTAAGCAATATCAAGGAATATTTAGGCAGCAAGTTATTATAGGCAAACGTAAAAGAAAATAAAGTCACCGATATACCTAAATGTAAGTGGAGATATATATAAAATGTTTCGTACAACACATATGACACCCACCACAAAGTATATGAGAAACACGATCAACGTTTATCTATCATCTATGTATATTTAATTATTCACTTCCCCAGTTACCAACTCCATCCCCAAGAATAGATCATATCTCCCCAGCAAAAGAGAAAAAAGTGGTACAATAATTTTGCACACAAAATTTAGGATTTCAAACATTCAGTTTATAAATTAAAAAGAAAAAATATATAGAGAGAGAGAGAGAGAGAGATTTATAATAAAATGATCATACCTAGTGCTTGCATAGTCATAAAGCTTGCTAGTGCTGGAGAACACAATCAATCCAACTTCTGCATCACAGAGAATGGATAATTCTCTAGCTTTCTTCAGCAATCCATTTCTTCTCTTTGAAAATGTTACTTGCCGGCTAGTGGAATTGTCGATCCTTCGAATTGCAATCTTTCCTCTCCCCATCGATCTTTGGTCAAGATATATTAGGGTTCCTTCACCCCTTTGACCTGGTAGATCAGTCACCAAACTCTACTATAAGATTAATTGTGCAAAACTAGAGTTATTGATTAATACTAATAGTGAAGAAATCGGTTGAAAAAGATTAATGAATAAACGGGGAAAAAGTTATGAATAAAAAAAATAAAAAAAATATCCCGATAATTAATAGTGCAGTTAAAGAGCAATGAAAGTAACTTACTTGAAAATTATAGGAGTATGACTAGTGAGGAGAAGGAAGAAGGGGAAAGATGAAAAAGGAAAGACAATTTTGTGATGCAATTTTATGCTTTATAGGGAAAGCTGGAAGTGGTTTTATTATGGCAATTTGGCAAAGATCGAAAAGCGGTTTTCTAAGGTTAGTGGTTTTGAGATGTATGGTTTTTTCCCGCTCGAGTACATAAAAGTAAGTGTACTCGCTCGTTATGTTAGAGTGAGAAAATCTTCGAGGGTGCTAAACCGCATAAGCTGGCAGAGAAAGATTGCAAGGGACACGTGTCGGACACATAGAGCGAGTACGGAGAAGGTGATTAGTGTGTGAGTGGTTAAATGTGTATCCTAGGAGTGTATGTGAGTCCAGGAATCGTGGGGGCCTTGTAAGTGGCGAATAAAAATGAATTTCTGTGACGTATGAGGAATTGCCACGTAGGCATTCCAAAACCGAGGGCGCTTACTTTTCCTGCTTTTAGGTTTGGGGAAAAGCATTATAATGGATGGCTCTTCACTCTGGTTGGTTTCCATTATTGACAATTATATCCGTTGCAAGTAACAAGATGTTAAGGTTAGGCGAAATTAATAAACATTAAAGAATTGGAAACCCAGGAGAAAAATGGGGAAGCATCCATAAACGTCGTTTTTTTAATTTCGTCTGCTTTTCCAAAATGGAAATCATTAACTTTATTTAGTGAGTATTGTAGAACCAAGCTAGTTGAGGGTTGTCTTGTCTTTATAGGTGGTGTAATCACTATATGCGTGAGTGAGATTGTAATTCTGATTACATGGTATAATATTTAAAAGTTTTCCTTAGATTCAAAACTAAACATTAATATTGGCTACCAAAACTTTAATTACCTAGATCTTTCATCGATATAATTATAGCATTATAATATAATTTGAATTAAAGAGTGTTATATATCTCTCTCTCTTTTTTAAAAAGAGTGTTATATTTCCATTTATATAATTGAGATAATCAAAGAAGAGTTTAGGAAACGAAAAGGTTAACTTTAAAATATTATTTCTTACACACATCATTGTTGTTCTAATATTGGGCTCACACCACCTGACTCAATTATCTCGAAGTCAAGCTATTAAATTTTTTCACAAATAAAAGTCATTCCTATATATTTTCAGGAAGATATTTCATAATTTCACGTTGTAAGGTATTTATCCTCATGTATTCTCTTAACCTATATATAGGAATGACTTTTATTTGTGAAAAAATTTAATAGCTTGACCCCGAGATAAACACACAAACTTTTTTCAGATCAGTAGATAGTTTTGAATAAGGGACAAAATTGTTATTAATTGATTAATGAAGGGCAAAATGATGAAAAACCCAAAAAAAAACACACAAACTTTTTTTTTTTTTTTGAAAGTTACAGGAATCGAATACAAACACACACTCTGTTACACACACCCACACCACTAGCTAGCCCTAGTAAAACACACAAACTTTCTTACAGGCCCTATTCTTCACCTTGTATTTTGCCCACAAAATTTGCGAAAATATTTTATACTAGATGATCATTTAAACACTTGTGGAAAAAAATCATTCAAACTTTTCTAACCCCTCTTGAGTAAATCAATATAATCACTTGACCACGTGAAGGAAAAGAGAGCTACTTTCCAAAAAGAGAAAGAGAGAGCTATTCCTACAGAAGGAATCCTACTATCTAAGTATATGATTAATGCCAACAACCAGTACTCATTACAGATTTTGTAGTTTTGAGGTAATTATACCTTTTGATTTGAAGAATCCTTAAAAATCCAGAACCAGCCAAAAATCTATTCAATTTTTTGTTGTTGAATATTTGTGTATTTTACTGCCGATCGAGAGAGACAAAAATCTACAGCGACTGGTTGGTTTTGCAAGTTGCAAGACAGGATCTATCAACTAACTGCGTGAAATCCAAGAACTCAAGAAAGAAAGAATCAAACGTCGTACATGGGATAAGACTAACCGCAAATTGGACTAAATTAAAGTATGATTCAGTAAGATTTCTAAAATTGGAAAAATCTTCTCTCATACTCCGCAAAAGAACTCCAAATCCTTTCTACTCTCACTCTCTAATCAATTATTTCTTCCAATAGTTGGTATTGGATGCTCGAACTGTCAAATTATCGGATTCATCCACCACCTGATTGTAACGTTACCTTTTATCTTCATCTTAGAGAGAAAGTTACCTTTTTGTTTTAGCATCATTCGTATCGAGATTCACAACAACTGTGTGTTAAGGCTGTTTGAAAATCTAGTTGGATAGCTTGGAGAAAAGAAATTCAAGTTAATTAATTAATTTAATGGAAAAAATATTTGTCCTTTTAAAGGATCTAACTTTATATCATTTTAGATCCTAACTGTTGATTTCCGTTAATCAACGGGTAGGATTTATTGAGTTTTATTATGAATTACTAATTAATTAAAAAATTTGACCCAATAAATTCTAACCGTTGATTTACAGAAATCAACTGTTAGGATCTAAAATGACATAAATTTAGATCCTTTAAAAGGACAAATAATTTTCTCTTAATTTAAAGGATTTAATGTCTCTCATATTGTAGGAGATAAAATTATTATCGTGGGAGAAAAAGAGAAGAGAAGAGAGGCACATGTGAGGCCATATTATAAAATTTAAAGTGTGTGAGACTGAGGCTATAGGAAGAGAAGAGAAAAAAAATGGATCCACACACTTTTATGTGTGTAGGAGATAAAAATTATTCACTATATGAAAGACATTAATCCCTAATTTAAAACATTATAAGTTAATTTACAAAGATCGCCACCAACGCTAGCTGCCATAACCTCCGATATTGTCACGGGTAAACTACTTCGAATTAAGGTACTTTTGTTGCCACCGTTGTCGTCTAAGACATTATAATTTAATTTCAATTAAATTTCAGTTATGTTTCTTAATTATTTATTTATCTTAAACATTATAAAAATTAAAATTCTTAATATATATTACTAATTTTACCAGAGTTGGAATTCAAATTGGATGTACTTAGATTCAAAATTATCACCCAAATGAATCTGAGAGTTTTGTTATAGGCGGTAGGGTTCATAATGATTTTATACATGTATAATTTATATTATCTTGTGATTGTTTAAATTAAATAGTCATGTTGCAACACATACAATGGAACGCAAATCTAAGTTTGTATATCACAGCTCAGCTCTTAATATTATTGGTTCAGTCAAATTAAAGTTAATTATAGTTTCTAGGAACTGCAATTTTCGTTGTGGTTTGGATGAAGCTATCTTTCACACGCCACAGCTTGCATCCGAACTTAATATATGTACATTAAAAGGTGGATTGTGACTGAATAGTTAATAATATTATGGTCTATACTCTATATACCATGCCGATTCTTCTTTGATTCTACGCTTATGATACGATAATGTTTTTGAATATGACAGCACGTTTTTTATTGAACAAATAATAGTAGTCAGAAAATAACCTGATTAGCAAATATAAATATATAATATTGAATATTTTATTCGTTTTATACTAATGGACAACTATTATTTGTCCTTTCCAAATTTGTGTTTATACTCAATAGATCACTTACAGTTACAGATATCAACCTCACTGTGTGATTCTACGAATATAATACAGCAACGGCCACTGCGATTAACTTCATCATGAAATAGAAATTTGCCAAACATCAATAAAATAGTGTGCACTAATATATATTTTATAGATCAATGTGCTAATTAAAGTTCGCATTAGTTATAAACAAATAACTCCGGCAATCTACCTCCCCTAATTTTTTTTTGCATTTTGTCATGATTAAGTAAATTTCAAGTTTTGGAATTAAACTAATTTGGACACACCTAACTAAAAGGTATAATCGCGCGGTTGAGCAAGCAGCGTATTTTGGTGTTGAACTCGAAATCATAATTGTTTCTTTGGCAACATCCTCTCCAAAAGCATCATCCATTAAATGACAAAGAAACCCCTATGAGCCTATGGCAGCATTCAATATATAGAATTATAAATTATAATACCCCAAAGTACCCACCCATTATTTTTTTCCAATGTAATGCTTATAATGCCCCTACGCACGCCTTTCATCGAGCTCATTGATGGGGAAACAATCCGTACGATGGCGAAACAATAATTTAATATAAGGAAAAAAGAAGTATAATGTTGTAGGAAAATGTTTAAGTAATGTTATAGAGATAGAGATGGTGGGACCCACCCTTGTTTTCAAAAACCAAAAAAATAAACAAGTGTGAGTCCCATCATCTCTATCTCTATAACATTACCTAAACATTTTCCTACAACATTATACTTCTATTTCCCTTAATATAATATGTATTTTGCAAAGTCCAAAATGGAAGGTTTGCAATTTAGAGAATAGGTTCACTTTTATGACTATATATATCGCGAAATGGGAGAATACATCAATTATATAAATAAACTCACCAATACCATGTTTATAGTTCTTACCAGTAAAGGGATTAAACCCCAACAGTTGTCCCTTTTCTTTTATTATTTGGATTAGTAGGACGCTTTTGGAACTTATGCTACAGATTGGCTGTAGCCCACGTGATAAGAGATTTTTCGTCCAATGAATGATCTTGTTTCCTTAAACAATCGGTGGACCTGTTATTGTTCGAACTGTACCTAAATCTCTTTATTTAAGGAAAGAAAATAAAGAAAATCTTGGGCATAACGTCTCCAACTAAGGGCCTAGCCAGGTGTCAATCATCAACAAATGATGGGAATAATTAGTCTAACAACTCA